CCCAAGTACCAAAAAACTCTAGAAATGTGGGAGCACATGCCCAAACTTCTAGCACCAACTTATTCATTATTATACAGGATGTCCCAGCCGAGAGTGACCCATTTTTCATGCTGATAACTGTTAAACCAGGTGTGCTAGCTACCTGCGGTTTGCGCCATTCGCCTTCTCTTGGCCTAAAGTTTTTTTTAGTTGGTTGCAAATTTTTTCGAATATGTACTTATTATTCAGAGCCAGTAAAAAAAAACTTTTCTCTACGATTATTGGAGAATTCATCCATTCTGACTTAGTTTTTTATTACGGAATAGCTTCATTCCCTCACTAGTGCAGGAATATTCATTCCATCACTTGTTATGGAATGAACACCAATATATTTAATATCATAAGCGGAAAACACAGGAGAGTACAGGAAGTCTATCTATTTCTACACCAGCTGCACTACGCAAACTGCAGAAATACTTGGAAAACGTCAAAAATACTATAAAATACAAGTAAATCACTAAAATCGACGTTTTGTATTAATTGCTAGAGCAAGAAGTGCAGCACAATAAAGCACAATTGTCCTTTGCAGCCTTTTTGGTGAAAAGAGGATGGAAAGTAGAAAACGCTATTTGACAATGTTAATACTTGACGTATCTTTAAAAGATCAAATTTTGGGGTGCGTTCGGTATCACCCTAGGCGTTCCTATCTGTGTCTGTGGTTTGTTGTTAGTTATTTCATTTGATTCTAGTCGTAGAAAAAGTATAGTCAAAAAATCGTCCCATGAACGGTTTTGAAACCACTCAGTATACGAATTTGGGTTTCTGCGCACAAATTTTAGGTTTTGCGCAGAATCATGACGGTACATTGTACGGTTTTCTGCTGTGTTGGAACAAACCTTCTATAACACGTGTGGAATTCAAAATTCTTTACTCGTGTAGCCGTTCTCCTCGCCTTCGGCTCGGGGAACAAACCACTCGTGTAGAATTTTGCTTATTCCACACTTGTTATAGAATATACTATTTCAACATCAAAATTCTCAACTATTTTTAATAGAACACCCTGTATATCACAACGTCAAAAAAAAGAGTCAGGTTATTTTTTTACACGCTAAATATATGTGAGTATCTCATATCACACCGATTTTTAGGAATTGTGTCAACTGATGAATTGTGATTAGAATTACTCTCAACATTACCCTTTTGGGTCTTGTTTTCAATTTCAAACTGGGTTTAATATACATAAGAATCCACGATTGAATATAAAATTATACTTTTATCGCTTTCCGCCATCTCGAATTTTGTCACATTTGTAATTTTTTAGATTTCATGACATCCTTGTGATAATATAGGCTTTATTTTAAAACCACATTTTTTTAAATCGGACAAAAATGAAAAAAGTTACGGAGATATAGAATCCAGTGCGACCTTTTTGGTAACACTATTTCTAAGAAATAGGGCCGGATTTTTAAAATAATACGCAAGCTTAGCCACCCTGTATAGTATATTAGGTTTATCTAGACAATTTATTTGCGAAGTCGAAAACAAAAATCCTGATATGTAGCTTGCAGTACGCGCCAACATCGATAAATAAAGGGTTGTTTGATGATTTTCGGACCCACTTTACTGGGTCAGCCTGTATAGTTAGAGATTTGGTGCAATGATGAAAAATGCTTATTTTTGCTAGTACTACAACATACCAAATTTTTGAGAAAACGGACCGGTCCCCGAAAACCCATAAGATGTGTGCGATGTCCTTTAAAAATTGAATAATCGAAGCTCTCAATGTAGGAATATGGAACAGTGTTAAATATTTGTTTGTGTTACAACATATTTTTAGCTGCGAGTCAATGGGCGGTATGATTAAAAAGAGTATTTGCTTTTACTTCAAGTAAATGCTTCATTTTGTATTTTTCACTTCAAAAAATTACAGCATTTACTCCACATAATTCTTGAAGTAAGTACTAGAAGCAATTACTTTATACTTTGCTCTATTTGCTTCAATTGTATAGAAGTTTATACTGCAGAAATTACTGATGATTTCTAGTATTTGCTCCATTTGGAATATTCGGTGTAGTTTTCGAGAAGCTACTCAAGAGTAACTTCACATCAATTGCTTCGATTGAAAATGCGTTATAATGCCATTTTTTAATAATTATAATGGTAAGAGAATGAAGAAAATGTGTGATGGAGATATTTTTAAGGACTCTAAAGGTCGGTATTATAATGTCCAGTTGACCGGAGGTTGAAACTTCGGTTGAAACTCAATCATCGGTCAACCGGTATAATACCGGCCCTAAGTGATCCTGGATTTCAACAACGAGTTGATGTAGATGTCGGGGTACATCAAACGACCGTGCCAAAAGTAATTAAAGAAGTTGTGTGGAATAAAAATGTTTAGATTTCTTTTCCGGAAATAGGAACGATAGATTCTACCCACATAAGAAACAAAAATAATCTATTTGAGGTTAAACACGTCCTAGTATTTACTACTAGTTTATATTTCTAACCTAAGTAAACACTTCCCATCCCATAAAAGAATTTACTCCATGTAAAAGATTATACTCCACAAATTACTAGGAAGTAAAAGCTATCACTTGAAGTACAAGCAAATACTCTTTTTAATCATACTGGCCAATATCTTTGAAGTTTATATGCCTTTGGTTAATTACATCATTAAACCAAGCACTTATTATTACATAGTCGTTCAGTGTGAAATGCCTTGTTAAGGAGACAATATCATCAATCACATTTGAGAAATATGCCTGGGGTTTGAAAATTCCCATAACCTTATAGTCTATACATTTTTTTCTAATTACCTCAATCATACGAGAAAATTTGTTGCAGCATAGAATAAGTATTTTTGGTTCCTGCTCAACCACTGTTTGATTGTCAATTGATCGCATCACTGCATTTGGTCCAGACATCCCTGAGTTCCCTCCTGGATACTTTCACTTTTTGTATGTTAATTTCCTTCTCCTTAGCGTCCATTGGGCGTGTTACTTCCTTGTTAAGCTTCTCTAGTCGTCTTCTTAAAAGCTTCTCTTCTTCGGCATACATTTTGTTGGAGACTTCCAAAGTTTGAATACTAGTTATAATTTCCTTCAAAGTACGGTTCAGTTCTTTTATATTTTCTTTAAAAACCTGATTCCTGGCTTTACACGACTCTAAGTGTCTCTAAGTCGATCTGCAGTTCTCCATTATATCATTTAGTCCTCAACATTTCAGCATCCAGGAGATCGATTTTATTTTTTTGCTGTTCCAGTTTCATTTCACACAAAGCCAAAGAAGTGATTTTATTTTCAGAAGCTGATTTGGAGTTATTTGGAGCTATGATCTCTTTTTCAAGTGTCTCAATTGTTCAAATGTGGGTGTTCAGCTCTTTATTGAGGCTCTGATTGGTTTTTATTACACGTTTCAACTTCAATTTTCGAAAGTCAATCGTAGATAAATAGTTATTTTCAGTCTTTAGAGGTGATTAACGTGACTAATTCAAAAATGTCTTCCTTTCCTAACATTCAACATTCAAAAAACCAAAACAAAATAAATATAAGAAACAATAAAAGTACAAATAAATATTAAAATCTTAAAAAACACAAAAACACAAAAGTTAATTAGACTACAGGTAACGAAATATGAAAAATTCGATGGTTATTTCAGATCTCAACACTGTTATTTCTATATTAAAACCTGAAAATATTCTGAATTAGCAGGGTAGAGGAGCAAACGAGTAAATTGTAATCGATTTGTTAGTCGAAATTTCCAACTTTTTACTTAATTTTTAGTGACATACCTCTTCTTCAAATCAGGAGCTTTCGTAAACACTTAACTCTAAAAACTCCACATTGTACATAATCATTTGTGACATGATTGGATCAAAACAACACAGACTTAAATTGCGGGAAGAGGTTTCGACGACACACTAGCAACCAAATTCAACTGGTGTGATATGGTTCCGTTTAATATTTGTCTAGTTTGGAATTTCCATAAAAAAATTAAAATTTGTTGGCACTTTTTCTATTTTATAATGCATGTTTTGTGCGGTATTTTTTCTTTCTCCCGCCTTTACTGTATGTTTTTGTTGATCACAACTCATTGGTAATTAGGTAAATTCTAATAAGTTGTTGTCATTGTTTTATTCTTGTATTGGTTCAACAGGTGGTTATAATGAATGCTGAGTCCCTGTGTATCAGTTCTATGATTTATTGTGTCATGTAATGTTATTTGAATTATTTTACTTATGCATCTTTTTCGGTACACGTTCTCACTATCCAAGATTGACGCATTAGAAAAATTAAAGTTATGGCCTGTGTTAAAATGATGGCTAGAAAGGGAAGTCTTCTCATTTTTGTATCTATTGTATTCTCTACAGTCGTACATATGTTGTTTTACCATAGCTTTCCAATATTGTTTTGTGGTTCCGACGTAGCATTTTTCGCAGTTAAGACAAGGAATCTTGTATACTAAATTAGAGCGCTGTTCATTTGGGGTTTGGTCTTTTAATTTGGAAAATAGGCTTCCAGTTATTTTTGTGTTGTAGAAAGCTAGTTTGCATTGAGGAGCTTTTTTGCTTATGTTATGTTGGATTTTCTGAGAGAGGCCCTTTATGAAAGGAAACCTGCAGTATTTTATCACTGTCCCACTATCTCTCGTGTTTTCTGGCTGGTTTTTATATTTTGTGATGATTCTATTCTATTCACTAGAGATGTGGGATAGTTGTTGTTTTTGCGAATTTTTCTAACTTTGTTTTCGTTTTCCCTGTGGAATTGTTGGCTTGATTTTGGTATTTACTTGTGGGATCTGATTTTAGAATTTTATAAACTAAGTCATCCTCCAATAGCTTGTTCATTCCTTCTGCATATTCGTTTTTGGGCATTACACCAGTCGAGTTTCCCTTATCTGAGCGCATAACTAAAATTTCTGGGTAATTTTCAAGAAATGTCTTGCAAGCTTTGAAGTCTTTAGTGAATGTGCTATTTTTGCTCAAAGTATGGCTATTCGTGTAGTTGATGTAATTCGTCAAAATGTTAACTGATGTAGCTCTTATGTCATTTTTAGTCTCCTCATCAGAAAAAAAGGAGTCTATGGAGTATTCTAGGTCTTTTATTATTGCTGGAATTGGTATATTATTTCCTACGGGTAAAGCAAATTTTGGTCCAGCAGACCAGCACTCAACACTCGCTTCACTTCTGGGAAAAGCTGAAAAGTTGTACAAAAATTTATCTTGTGTTTCGATCTGAAATACCGCGCGTTTCTCTTGAATTTATCCTATCGTTTTGATGTTTCTTAGCTTCATGACATTGAATCATTTATTATAGTTATTTTGTTATTTACACAGGAATTTTTGAAGTTGGTAAAGTCGTGCAAAGATAAAATGTTGCTTGTTGTGTTTTTGACCTCGTCAAGTTCACTTTCCAACTTCTTTAACCTATATGAATAGACCTATCTATTTTACCAGACAAAGAGGTAATAATACGAAAACTTCATTAAATAAAAAAAGACACAGAACGCTCATTGCGCAAGACGAGGCAAAACGTACCAAATTATGTTAGACTTACGTATAGCAATCCGTCCTTCTTATTTGCACAGGATAAAAAGGAAAGGAGAAAAACCGCGTGTTGTGCAACGTAAAATCTGTTTTTTTTTTAAAGATAAAAGTCAAAATGACATTATGTTGGCAACACAATGTAAAATTGTCAATGCTTTGAAATTTTTTATATAGGAAAGGCTTGTGTTGCCAACATAGTTACTAAATTTTTGACTTGGGGAATTATCTTTAAAAAAAAACAGACTTTATTTGTCAATGAAAATGTCAAACAACTTTTGAATGACACTTGTCAAGTTGAATATCAACTTTAGATTTATTCTTGTCAGACTACGTGCAATGAACAAGGATAAAGAGATGCCCAGCGTGCAAAACGATCACCTCACACCTGTATTAGCTGGCCAATAAAAAGACATTGCCTCGTGTTACGCGCGCATACCAGGTAAAAATAGATAGGTCTATTGTTATTTCTATTTCTACACTTAGAATTTTTCCCTGTAACTTGTTGAACATATTGTCTAATTTGTTATTGAATGGGGGATTTTCCGACTTTAAGGAGTACAGGCATAGCATGTTATTGATGATATGGTTTGGTATAATGTTTTTTTCCTACACTGCAGTAGAAAAACAGGAATACTGGTAGAAAACAGGAAAACTGGAGTAACATTTGAAAATCCTCGCTTCTCACTCTCATGACAATGACGATAGTTAATATTATTAATATAATCGGAAATCGGCGTCTGCTCGGAATAAACTAATGAAAATATTAAATAAATAAGAAATAGGAATGGAATAATTATTTCTCAATATAAATATAGAATATCAACAACAACAATTTCGCAATTGTCAGTGTCATTCATGAAACTTCACATTGCACATGCGTCAGTAGTATTCGACAATTCGACACGCACAGTGTTGTCGAATGTCAAAATACTAAATCGGGAGAAATTGGCGTTGAATCGTTGAAAATCGGTAGATAACTGCGCAAAATCGGTAGGTATAACATAAGGATAATACAAACTACTAAGGAGTGTTTATCGGCCTCGTTTTTGGTAATCGCGGCCATATTGGTGTATCACCGTTGCCGACGTCATTAACTACGTTGACAGCTGTTCGCGCCAGCGGTCCTAGTTTAGAATTTAAATTTAAAAGCCCGCGGAATCATAACCTGTGACGCAATCAGCCTACGTCAAGGCGAGAACCCAAGCTTATTTGAGAGAAGTAGGTTGTTTGATAACTTTATGAATTATGACGTCATCTGGGGGGTCTCAACGTAATGCAAATCTCCATAAAGCACCCCAGATGCGTCAACGCCGTCATCAGGTTACCCATTACCAGGCAACCTATGAACTTTAGGAAACTTGGCGAAAACCGACGTGCTGCTATGTCCAGGTCTTATGAGGATAGGTTATCCTGTACCTATAGTAGTAGTGTCTATTATTCTTGGATATAAAAGGTTTGATCCTGCAGAAATCACAAACTAGTCAGAGTGAATTAAATTGGTTGAAACTAGTTTTCTGGCCATTTTCAACCCATGAAATTAACTCTGACTGGTATGTGATTTCTGCAGAAACAGACCTAACATGAACACTAAAATTCAGCGTTGCCGTATTTTGTTTTGCTTTTAATTTTTTATTTCGTCGAGCATGTAATGTAATTGTAAAAGCCCAGTAATTATTTCCGTGGAAAGTCTTGTTTATGTTATTTTCATTCGATTTATGGAAGAATGGAGCAATGACAAAATAATAAAAACAAATTCGGATATCACAGGACCCACGGGTATTCCCTGGAAGAAAAACGGTAAAAAAATCGGTAGATTCATAATTATTGTCGAAAATCGGTAAAAATTCATCAGTAATCGGTATTTCGGTAGGTCCGTTGCCATTTCGGTAGAAATACCGAAATTTCGGTAGCTTCGACAACACTGGACACGCATCAAGATGTAGAAATGAAACTATAAAATAAATCGCGTTTTGTCGATATTCTTGATGCACAGAGTGCCAACCAACCATGTAGAATTTTGTCGACTGATAGAATTCTACATGACACAGAGTCCCGCTATTAGGTATTTAGTAGTACTGATTCTGGAAAGATGGATGTTATCAATTTTTAGAGATATTTCCGAGATAACAATTTTTGTTTGTTTGAATAATATAAAGTCTTTTCAATGTTAATTTTCAATTTATTATAATGCAACCATTGAGAATAGTTATTTTATTTATTTATTTATTTCCAGAAAATTATTACAATGGTTACATTATAATCTATAGAGGTAATCAGTTACCTATACATAGGACTGGTGAAACTCAAAAATTAAACTTAATAGTAGATTATACCACGAGTCAATAATGATAGCTATTATTCCCGAGGATTAATACGAACTGAGCCGCGTTAGCGGCGAGGGAGTAACATTCCGAGGGAATAATAGCCATTATTGCGAGTAGTATACTCTACTTTATTTACGACAAATTAATTTATTTGAGATTTTCAATGAACAAATTTTATCCGTCTCATAATTTTCAATACAAATCCACAAGCACTACACGTTTGACACTGACACTTTTGTGGAATAATGACCATTAATCCCGCTACTCGTCATTAATCCCTGGAGGAATAACATATGTCATTATACTGCCAAAATCACAAATATAATACGCACATTATACATTAGTCGTAAATAATAGTAGATTATACCACGAGTCAATAATGATAGCTATTATTCCCGAGGATTATTACGAACTGAGCCGCGTTAGCGGCGAGGGAGTAACATTCCGAGGGAATAATAGCCATTATTGCGAGTAGTATACTCTACTTTATTTACGACAAATTAATTTATTTGAGATTTTCAATGAACAAATTTCATCCGTCTCATAATTTTCAATACAAATCCACAAGCACTACACGTTAGACACTGACACTTTTGTGGAATAATGACCATTAATCCCGCTACTCGTCATTAATCCCTGAAGGAATAACATATGTCATTATACTGCCAAATTCACAAATATAATACGCACATTATACATTAGTCGTAAATAAAATCTATAAAAACCCACCATGTGCATAATGCCCTAATATAGCTATCACAAGGATATATGTACCTAACTCATTTATAGACATACTCACAGTGTGAAGAAAATACTTACATATCAGGCATTGCTTCTCATAATATAATATACAGGGTGTCCCACGAGGTTTTGCCCAAATGATAACTCCGGAACGCATCATCGTATGTTCCACTGTATAATTTTTTATCATTTTCTTTAACAAAATATGGCATCGCCAATTTTGTAATTTAATTTTTTAACGAAAAATGCCATAATATACCATGAGCGAGACCATGAGTTGCATTTAAGATTCTAAAGTTGACGTCACAATAGTATGCTGTAAGGTTTTGTATTCCTTGGGAAGGTTATTGAAAGTTTTAATGGCGGTGATATAGCTGCTCTTTGTGAATAACGTTCGATTAATTTTCGGTAAAATAATATTTTTATTTCTGGTGATGCTAATTGACTGCATAAAGTTACTCTTCAATTCCTCATAGAAATAGACAAAAGATTCCAGAATAAAGAACTGATGCAAATTCAATGGAAGAGACAGATATAAACTTGGATGTATGGCACCCCTGAGAACAATTTTCAACAATCTTCCTTGAAACGCCTCCAACATACACTTAACATTGCCATAAGCACCTCCCCAGGCTATAATACCATAATTACAAACACTATGGAAAAGGGCATAATAAATTGACAGCAGCGTCTTTGGATGCATTATTTTAGCCAGTTTAGCAAAAACAAATAATAAATATTTGGTTTTATTGACAACACTTTCGATGTGAACATCCTACCTAACCTTATAATCAATATGAACACCCAAGTACTTACAACTCTACTCTCTTTATTTGTTTATCATTTATTTTTATGTTTAAAAAATTAGGGACACTGTCACAATATGCACCAAAAGCTATATAAACTGTTTTTTGGACATAAACCCAGCCAAGTAAGTGAGTAGGTAAGTAGTCATCATTAATTGTGGACCCCAAAAGCTCTATATGGGTTCCACCATATATTAAGACTGTATCATCCGCATAACTAAAATTTTTTCCAACTAATCCAGCTTGACTTAAAGATAAAACATGCAAAGAGTATTATAATAGTGGCCCTAATACAGATTCCTGGGTATCCCATATTTATTACTTGCTTTTTTCCTGTGTTTACCCCCCAAACTGACAAACTCTGATCGATTTTCCAGATAAGTTGAAATAGCTATGCCAGATATTCCCATCTGAGTAAGTTTATTTAATAAGACTGAATGGTCCACCGCATCAAACGCTATTAGAATATATCTGCGGTCCATTCCAGTGCTTATGTGGTTCACCAAATTAGTAGTTGCACATAAGGTATCGCTTCCCTTAAAAAACCCATACTGAAAAGGATCAAATCCAAGATAGTCTTCAACAAACCTCGTCAACCCCGGCTTCATTAAGCTTTCAACGATTTTCGAGAAGATGTTAATAACTGGCCGGTAGTTTACAACTTCGTTCATATCACCCGATTTATGAATTGGAGTGACTTTACTAGTTTTTAGTATTTCAGGAAAGATGCCAGAAGTAAAAACAGAATTTATTAGGTTTGGTAAGATCAGTAACAGGTTATCTTTGATTTGAAGGATATCTTGAAAATTTATACCATCACTGTCAGCAGCAAAGTTTTTATTTAAACTAATAATTATGTTATCGTTGTCAATCTCTTGTTCTGTTATTTAAAGAAGTTCTATAACATGGTTGGTACTTATTTCCCTAAATTGGTAATTATTTTGATTGTCCAATGAGGTGACAATTGACTGACCGATACTAGTGAAATAATCATTAAATTCATTGTCTATTGCTAATGGATAAGTTAGAATTGCAGGTTGCAGTTTCAGTTTCTATTGTAAGAGTTGTAGCATAATTAGCTTTTTCTGCGATTGACAAGAAATGTCAGCATTTTTGACCGGTTGACAGGTCGCAAAACTCATTATTCTGGTATTTTAATTATGTTTCAATAGTTGCTAAGGAATCAATGAATAACAATACAGAAAACACTTTTCCGGCCTAGGCCGGGAAAGTGATTCTCGTACTGCTGAATAATTTGAACTAAAAGACAAACATTTAACAGGTATTGATCCGATCGCAGAAAAAATAGTATGTGTATTTCGGTGGAAAAGCACATTCTCGGCCGACGGTGTAAACACCGAGAATGTGTCACTTTTCCACCTAAATACACAATATACTATTGTTTTTATTCAAAAGTAAATTAATAACTTTCCATTGTTTTTTTTGGATTAGTGCCCGCATTGGTCCAACTCTGTTCAAAAAAAGCAGTTTTTTGTTTTCTTATTCAATTAGTAACCCTATTTTTTAAGTTTTTAAAGTTATTTTCTAAGATTTTCCATATTTAATTTCTGCAGATCCATTAATGCTTCATATTATAATTTATTTCTTTCCTTTACTAGATTTAAAATATTGATATTCATCCAATTGTTACCTTCATGATGTCTGTTATTAATACTGTATGAAACCTCAGTCTTAGATTTTTTAGCTACATCTATCAATGCCTCAAAAGAGTTAATATTTTCACTACTTGTTGATTCAAACTTTTGCTGAAATTTCGTTTGATTGACTACCTGTATTACCCTTTGAATTTTAGGTTTGAACGATTTCAATAAAAAAATTTAAGTGTCCTTCCGCTGAATGGGGGTGAGTTACAAAAAAAGTTGATAAGGAAAAATTGTAGAAAATTTAATCTTATAAAACTTTTATCAAGATTTTTTTTTGTAAAAAAAAAATAAAACTTTAAACTATCCCTATTGAAAAACGGCAGGGGGTGAGTAAAAACTTCATAAAGCAAAAACGTTGTATGTGTTGTAGAATTTTTTGTCACATGGTTAAATTTTTTTTATCCATTATAAATTTCAAACGGCCCTATGACCACAGACAGCACTTAATCAAAAAAGTCTCTAGATAAACGGTAGATAAAATAATGTTGCACATCTTTTATTTGAATTTTTTTTTGTAAAATCAATAGGTACCAAATAATCGCCAATGGCGCACTTTCAACCCCTATAGCGCAAAACGCCAGAGGGGGCATGTGTGATATCTTCGGTTTTATAATCACCCACCCGCCCCATATCATCCCTATATACTACACATTTTACAAAGTAAACACGGAATAATCTCCAAGACTCCAAGCGTTTTACTTGCTACCTATGAAATTAATTTTTCCAAAAAGGAGTAATTTTTCAGGATTGGTGCAATGATAACTTTTAATCAGAAAGGAGTGATCTACATTATATACAAAATTCAGCCAATTCTGACATGAACATAATTTCTGTATATTTTGGGCAGGGTCCTTTTAGGCTTTGCGCTGATTCGTGACGGTACATAATTGTACGGTATAGAACATAACTTAGATTCTAAAATCAGGGGGGAGGGGATTTTTTTCAATGTGTACCCTCTAGTTAGGATCCAAATAGATGACAAAACAAATTCCGATTTGTGTTTAATGTCCAGATTCTTATCAGTTGACAATATTTAAGCTAGAAAACCCAAAGGCTTCATTGCATTGTCCAGATTAGAATTTGGTCACCAGATTCCCAAATCTCAAAAATGTTTTTCAATTTCAGTTGCACAAGAGCAAGTACCCATTCGTCCAACTAGTTTCCCCACAGACGAGTTAACTTTGAGAAGAAAAAACGCAGTACTTAGCAGACAAAATAGCCGACAATCCGTCAAGAGTCTAATCGAAACTATTGAGAGCCAAGGAAAACCTGTTTCAAAAAATTGTAATAAATTTTTAAAAAAAAGTTGATAAATTATTATTACTGAAAACATATTTTAGCTCTTGGTAGTGTCAGTCGTAGCAGTTCAGCGTCCTCAATAAATTCTTTAGCCTCAGACATAAGAAACCCTTCAAGCCCATCAATATTGCCTACACCATCGCCTGGTAGCCCTTTGAAGACGCCATCTGATTGGTCTGAAATTTCCAATAATGCTTTGCCTCAAATTAAGACTCCATTAAAGGAACATCAGCCTAATAAGATTGGTGGTTGGGGAAAAAACGGAATTAATGGTGAAATAAAATTTAAGATTAATACATTTGTTAACTTATTATTTATAATTTCTAGATGCCCTTTCGAAGCCAGACTTAGTTAAAACCAAATCAGAGGACACTACCTATAGGGACCAAATTTTGCAAAAGGGAATCGATTTTTCGCGCAGGAACAGCTATTCAGATTTGAGTAAGATTTAAAAATTAAGAGTGTTTGAATATTATTCAAAAAAAAGTTTTCGCAGGTGAACGTAAAGATCCTCTCAACAGCCTAGTGAAAAATGGTGGCTCGAAACGCAACGCCTTACTAAAATGGTGTCAGAATAAAACTGTAGGATATCGTAATATCGATATAACCAATTTTAGTAGTAGTTGGAACGATGGTTTGGCTTTATGTGCTCTGTTGCACACTTACCTTCCCGATAGAATCCCTTATGATTCTTTAACTCAGCATGAGAAAAGAAGGAATTTTTCTTTGGCTTTTTCTGCTGCTGAAAGTGTTGGGATTCCAACATCTTTGGTAAGAATGTCATTATTCATATGAAGCAAAATAATTTGGAATTTTTCTTTTCAGAATATCAACGACATGATCCAGCTGGAACGACCTGATTGGCAGCAAGTGATGTCCTACGTTACAGCTATTTATAAGCATTTTGAAGTTTAAACTCTCTTGATTGTCCTATTTTTTTTTCTGCATTTATGTTATTGCTGTGATATATTTCTGAACACTTATATAAATGTTGTATGACATATTATAGGAATTTGCGCGCTAAATTTTTAAGGCAACTCCTCTATTTTGATATTTTTAGAGGTTTTGGAAGGCGTTTACACTTACTGGATGTTGTTAGTGAACTAGAATAAAAGATATTTTTTAAATACATATTATCTTGATAAATATTTACATGTATCTAGTCAAACCATTGATTGTAAAAGTGCTTTCATGAAAAAATAGTTTTGTTTGGCGATTTTTGACAATAATATTACGAGTCCTAAATATATTTTAAATTTTGTACTGTTTAATGTTCTGTTTTGTCCAAAAAAAACAATATTCCCAGTACACTGGTGTGAGAGTTTGTTAGTTTAAAATGTAAACATGAAGACTGTCATATTATAACTTAAGGACTTTGATGATCAAAATGATTTTGTATTTGAAGATGTTTATGAAAATGAATAACGTTCATTTATAGTAGTTTAGTGACTGCTCCTTTAAATTATCAACTTTGTCTTTGGTTATGGCAACAAAATAGCTGAAAATAATCAAAGTATACTCAAACCAGATTTTTTCTCTATGATTTTTTTCAAGTAGATGTAGTTTTTTCGATTTTTTTTTCATTGTTATTTATGTTATGAGTTTGTAAGTATTTTGTTTTGTGGAAATAAAGAGTTTTTAGCATCCAATTAAGTTTTTATTTTTTACTTAACAAAAAAAAGTTTATCTATTTACAATGAATAACTTATCAAAATTTCCTTAATTTCTCTAAGTGAAAAGTATGATTTTTCTTAATATAATTAATTTCTATCTCATTTATCGATCCACTTCACCGAATACGATATCCAAGGTTCCTATGATGGCCACAATATCGGCCAACATATGGTTCTTACCTACTTTATCAAGTGCAGCCAAATGGGCGAATCCTGGAGCCTTGATTTTACACCTTGAACAAAATAGTATTAATAGTTATTTGTTAAATAACTAAAATGTGTTTTTTTTTTTTAAAGATAAAAGTCAAAATGACATTATGTTGGCAATACAATGGAAAATTGTCAATGCTTTCAAACTTTTTATGTAGAAAAGGCTTGGGTTGCCAACATAGTTACTAAATTTTTGACTTGGGGAATTATCTTTAAAAAAAAACAGACTTTATGTATGTTTCACTCTTACCTATACGGTTTTGAACTACCATCAGACACAAGATAGACTCCAAATTCTCCCTTAGGAGCCTCAACTGCAGTGTAAGTGGAGCCAGGTGGCACTTGGTAACCCTGAGTAAAGAGCTTGAAGTGGTGAATGAGAGCTTCCATAGATGTCTAGAAACATAAATGTTAAATCTTAAAGGCCTCGTAAAGCAAAAATGTCATCTACCTTCATTTCTGCTCTACTAGGTGGAGTAAGTTTAGCATCGTCCGTCTTAATTTCACCTGTAGGCATTTGATTCAAACACTGATGAATAATTCTCAAAGATTGACGCATTTCTTCTAAACGGCACAAATACCTGTCATAACAATCTCCTTTAGTTCCAATAGGCACATCAAAGTCCACTAAATCATAGGCATCGTATGGTTGAGATTTTCTCAAGTCCCATTTGATTCCTGAGCCTCTCAACATCACACCACTAAAAGTCAACAACAATAAACTAAAAAAAATTTGGATAATAAAAAAAAAATCAAACCTGAAGCCATAGTTTAAAGCTTCAGCAGCAGTGACAATGCCAATATCTTCTGTTCTCTGAACCCACAGCCTGTTAGTTGTCAGTAAATCTTCTACTTCATCCAATCTCTCATTATATTTCGATATAAATTCGTAAATATCATCCATTAATCCTAAAGGCAAATCAAGGGCGACTCCTCCAGGTCTCACATAGGCAGCATGCATTCTAGCTCCAGAAACACGTTCGTAGAACTCCATTAATTTTTCACGTTCCTCGAAAAGCCAAAAGAATGGAGTTAGGGCACCGATATCCAAAGCATGAGTACAAATACCCATTATGTGATTCAAAATTCTTGTTATTTCTGCAAACATAACTCTGATATATTTGGCCCTAAGTGGTACGTCAATATTGAGCAATTTTTCAATAGCCAAGCTGTAGCATTGCTCATTACACATCATAGATACATAATCCAATCTATCAAAGTAAGGTAAAGCTTGAGTATAAGTTTTGTACTCGATCAACTTTTCAGTACCACGATGTAGAAGCCCAATATGAGGATCTGACCTTTTAACAATCTACAAATTCAAGTATAATGATAAATATTTTAAAATTGTAGCCAAATTACTTCTCCATCGAGTTCCAAAACGAGTCTCAAAACTCCGTGAGCAGCTGGATGTTGTGGTCCAAAATTGATAGTTACATTTTTGACCTGTTTTTCAATAGGGGCTTTATCGCCGCACCAAGGTTGCATGGCCCAATTTTGAGTTGTTTCATCTGGGTACATAACGGGTCCCATGAACGACTGGAAATATTCTCTGTCCGGGTGCCATCTCGCATTGTTCTGAGAACTAGAAAATTACCTCTTATACATACATATCAGGCCAAACTATTATAATTATTAATAACTAATGAATATATATTTTAAATCGAATAATCTCAGAAACATACTAATATAACCTACAAAAATTACATAATAAAAAAATTACTATGATCTACCTGGAATGTACCAATGCAGCCCCTTGTTTCAAGAACAATTTTTTCTGTAAATTAACAGTGGATCTAAATATAGCATGCATTTTGTTAAGTTTCCAGAAAATTTTTGTTAATATTTTTATAAATTTTTGAGGATTAAAAATAAAAACACCCGTGTGAAAACAGTCGGGTGCCACTGGATTGGATTGACACACTGACAGGACGGAAAAAGACGTTCAAAATCGGTGTATTAAAGGTCTGTTCGCACCATTGAGATTCGCACCGTTCGCACAGAAATCACAAACCAAGTACGAGTGAATTCATTGGTTGATAGTTGAAACTATAGTTTATATTATATCATAGTATGAACTATAGTTTAGTTTTCTGACTGTTTTCTATCGTTGATTTCTGTGCGAATAAACTTAGCCCCGAATTACAAGCTTTGTTCGGGTTTGAAAAGAGGACGGTTCTAGAACGGTTCAAAACACTCGCACAGTGTATTATTGAAATTTGTGATAGTCGAGCCGTTGTCATTTTGTTGATTGATAAACTGTGCGATTGTTTTGAACCGTTCTAGAAACGGCCTTTTTACAAACCCGAAAACGAAAAAAGCTATAGAAGCTCAGCAACAGCAAGATACAAATACAGGACCTGCTAGTCTGATGTAATTTGTTCGTTCCTGCAAATAAAGCACATGCAAGTCGGCCATATTTGCAGAACTGCAAATTTGCTGATGCAAATGTACTGTAATTGGGCTCTTTAAGCACACACTGAGGCCGGGTTTAGCCATCTTTAGGGCCAAATTATGGACTGACTGGCACCTAAACGTCTGGTTGTTACCTCTAGCAGGTACTTTCTATTCTCTAGATAATAGAAAGTACCTGCTAGGTAACAACCAGACACTTATGGACATTTGCACCGACCATTTTAAGGGAGGCTTAACGATAAGTGTTCCTTAAAGTGTCATTTTTACATGTAAAACTGTCATTTCAAGGTATCCTTATCGTTAAGCCTCCCTTAAAATGGTTGGTGCAAATGGCCATTAAAGTCCAACAAATACCATTTTAAAGTTAGGTGATTTTTCTCTATCCTTGTTGAATACATCTCAAACAGCGGTGATAGTAAAATTGACAAAAAAATTAGTGTCTAATTATTGTTCATAAAATTCTTACCTGAAATAGAATCCGTCACTGTCATCAATTAGTTTGTCAAAGTTATTTTCGAAAATGATACAACGAACAAACACAGCTGCCGAGTTCGTTTTTGTCATCTTTAGGCGCTTTCGCTGACGCTTTTGAGCACGCAATCGAACGTTTGCGCGCGCAAATGCTTCAAGCGCGCGTTCGTGTTGCAGCCCTACTGCGCTTCGAGAGCTGCTAACTTTTGCGTTTCAAACACAGCACACTGTGCTGCACCGTGCTTGAAGCACACAGCTGGAAAGCGGCTTTTTTCGTCAATTTACTCCGAAATTTTGACAGGCACGTGACTGATAAGACAGTTTCCATTTAAAAATCACGTGCCTATCCAAATTTCGGAGCAAATCGACGAAAAAGATGACAAAAACGAACTCGGCCAGCTATTAATTTTGACAGGGCGTGTTTGGGTTGACGCTCGGCGGAGCGAGCAGACTGAGCAGAGCGATTACGGAGTAACGTGACGTCACAGGGAGTACACCGTGTCAAGCCAAATAAACTCGTGCAAAAGTGCTGGGTTGAGCGATCAGCTGATTATTGTTTATTTTTTTTAGGATATATTTTTTGTAATCTGAAACCTGAAACCGCTTTCCGCATTTGCACCAGAGTTTTCTCGTTTGTTTTTTATTTTAGTCGATAATTTTTAAACAGCCCCATTTTGTTTTGTGTTCCTGCTAAAAATGTCGTGCTACATAAACAATAAAACGGACCTAAACACTCAGGTTGCCAAGTTCCCTTTGAAATAGTTATTTTCCTAACAAGTGCGCAAAGTGATACTTTCCCGCACGAAAAAGCAGTTAGACGAACGACGCGAAGCGGAGTTCGGATAAGCTTTGAGTGCGGGAAAGACACTTTGCGCAAGTGTTAGGAACAATATTTTTTCTACGAGTATGTCAAAAAAGTAGACTTTGAATTGTTAAAATATTAGAAAAATCAATCAAATCAAAATCTTCGAAAATCGTTAAAAATCCATCAGAATTCCTCAGAATGTCTTTTAAATTAAATCCCCAAAAATCTTTTAACATCTTCTGGAATTTCTAGAATACCAGCTAGAATATTTTCATGAGAGTCTCTTAAATATCAAAAATTCTACAAATTCCTAGCGGTACAGGCTGGTCCAATTCAGACACCTTTGATAAGAAACATCAGATTAACTAAGCGCTAATTTCAACTAAAACCCTTCATTTTGAGTATTAGTTTATTCAGAAACCATCAAAACATTGAAAAATCCAGTATAACTTATGGTAAATATGCGTAACCAAAATGAGTGCGCAAAGAGTTTCCGTGCGCAAAGTTCAACTTTGCGCACGCAAATGAGTGCGCAAAGTGATTACTTTGCGCACGGAAGTAGAAAAAATATTTTTACTAATACCAGTGATGAGGAGTACCGAGAAAATTTAATTAAAAGTAAACAATTATGCAGAATTTACTAGTTATTTGATTGTCAACATTTAAACAAAATAGGTAAAACTATCCAGCTAACAAATATATGTTAAAATTCGGGATTGTTTATTTATCATGGAAAATAGGTTAGGTTATACCAATTAGGCATTCCAGGTCACGTGACTTTGACAGGTCCGCTGGGGGGCAAACAAAGCCTAGATCAGTATTTACACCGTTCTTTGAGATTGTGTTTCCGAATTTTTGCGTTCTTAAATTCTTTCAATAAGTTTTAAGTTGTTTTTGTGGTAGAATGGCTAACATTGACTATTATTCATCGTTAGCTAGTGATGTGAAATGTCGGTATGACCAAAAAATACAAATAATTGCCAATATAGATCCTTATAAACTTCTACCTAATGCAACACAAGCCTTTTCTGCATAAAAAATTTGGAAGCATTGACAATTTTACATTGTATTGCCAACAGAATGTCATTTTGACTTTTATCTTTAAAAAAAAAACAGAGTTTAAATATGACAAAACTTTCCAAAACGTTATATGTCAGCGAGCAACAGAAAAAAACAACATTCCCCTTTGTGGCATGCATCTGTCTTTCATGGCTACATTTTTTTGGCAGATATGGCAATGTATGCGCATTCCAGTTTTTGACTATAGTTCATTGGGTAAGGGTGGATATTCATGCATCCGTTTGTCCGACGAAATATGTCCGAAAAATCTTCTATTTTGACATATTTTTATACGATTATGTCAGAATAGAATGTTTTTCGGACATCTTTCGTCGGACAAACGGATGCATGAAAATCCACCCTTAAGCCTAGTACTCATAACTGCGAAATTCGCACTTTTTTGACATTGCTTTGACAATTTGACGTTTAATTCACGCATAAAACGTATATTTGTCGAAGCAATGTCAAAAAAGTGCGAATTTCGCAGTTATGAGTACTAGGCTTTATACAGACAGATTTAAAACATCTGATCTGCGCATGCGCGCTCCAGCTGCCCACTCCACGAACTCGGGGTTTATCGAGCTCGCTCTGAGCGCTCAAAATACGTCAAACCAAACACAATCAAGCGTTGTCGGAGCTTCAAAAATAAGGGAAAAGAGACAAAAGTGCAAGCTCCGAGTGCACCGAGCGTGAACCCAAACGCGCCCTATATTAACCTTTTTTGTAGAACGCTTCAAGATTTGTTGTGCACTATTTCGCCTGATCCGAACAGTGCCGGAGTGGAAAGTGTCAATGGAGTTGAAAGGGTTGACACCAATCTTGACACCGACCATTGATATCATTAGGTTTGTTCCAACACGTCAAAAACCGTCCCATGAACGGTTCGAAACCACTCTGTAAACGAATTTCGGGTTCTGCGCACCTGCGCACACATTTTTGGCTTTGCGCAGAATCCTGACGGTACATTGTACGGTTTTTTGGTGTGTTGGAACTAGGTGGGCCAACCTGCGATTTTACTGGAACTGTGACAAGACGTGACTGCTCCAGTCCTGTCACGGTGACAAATAGCAGTGATTTTTTGGAGCAGTTTATCCTTGACTGACCGTACTGGTAATTTTTTTTTTTTTTTTTTTACGGATATGCGCACTCGCAAGGAAATGTCCTATCACGCTCGAGAAGCGGCAAGTGCGCGGAAATGTCGGTGTATGTTGGTCTTGAAACGGTTCAGGTTGTAACCTGCAGGGAAAACCGTCGTAGGGAGTTTATTCCACAGCGATGCTGTTCTCCAGAGATATGAATTCTGATATAATGAGGTTCTTGGTGCCTCTAGTTTGACAGTAAATTCATGGTTACCGTCTGTTTGACGGGTTCGCCTGGTAGGTGCTACTCTCGGTGGAATCATACGTGCCAACTCTTCAGAACATTTTCCGTGATAGTACCTGTAGAAGATAGATAAATCGCCCACCGTTCTGCGATGTTCGAGACCATCCAAGTTACGAGTAAGTGCGGGGTCATTGATCAGCTTGATAGCTCGTTTTTGCACGGTATTCAAAAGCATTAAGGTATGTTTGGGTGCTGCACTCCATATATGTGAGCAGTACTCCATAGTTGGTCGAATCTGGGCTTTGTAGAGTGTCAGCAATTGGCTTGGTGTGTACAGATGTCTTGTACGAAATAGCACCCCCAGCTTTTGGGAGGCCCTTTTAGCAATATCTGCCACGTGACTGTGCCAAGACATGTTGGTCTCTGCAGTAACCCCCAAGATGTTCAACTGACTCTGTAATGTGACAGCACTTCCAGATAGCATGATGTTTGGCTCACCGGTGCTGGTCTTTTTTGAAAACAGAGCTGCTTGGGTTTTCTGCGCGTTGAACTGTACAAGGTTTTTGTTACCCCAGTCCTCTATTATCTCCAGGTCGTTATTTATCTGCGATATTTGAGTTAGTCTAAGATGATGGAATTCACGTGCGGAAAGACCTGTCGGTGGTATGAGTGAGGAGACTACATTGCCATCGTCTGCAAAGCAATAAAGTGGATTTACTGTTTTATCTATGAGGTCATTTATGTAAATCAGAAAAAGAGTTGGCGAAAGGATTGCTCCCTGTGGCACACCAGCATTTATTTGGTAAGAGTTGGAGTTCTGGCCATCCAGTGCAACATAAATGGATCTG